ATAGTAGAGACGGGGTCTTGCTCTTGCTCAGGTTGGTTTCGAACTCCTGACCTCGAGCAGTCTGCCCGCCTTGGCCTCCCAAGTGCTAGGATTACAGGCGTGAGCCACCGCACCCGGCCTATTAGGATATTTTTAACTTTGTAAAGGCAGTTCTGGTTTTATTGCACTTGGAATAAAGGAATAAAAGGAATCAGACCTCAGGGGTACGTTGAAAATCTATTGAAACCCAGAGAGGGGAAGGGACTCGCCTGTGACCAGACAGTGGATTGAGAACCCGGGTTTCATGGTGATAGCTGTTGATTATTCCCATTCTACAGATGAGTAAACTGAGATTCAAAGATTCAGTCACTTGCCCAAATCTATACAGTATGTCCATAGCAGAGCCTGAACCAATGTTTGAGTGTCCTGATTTCTAACCCAGTGTTTTTCACAAGAATGACAACAGGATGGCAGCTGGCACCATCATGGGCTGAATGCCCACTTTGTGCTAGGCGTTGCTAGACACTTTGCAAGCTGGCCAGGATAGAAGCTGGGGCAGAGGCCAGGCAGACATGATGCGACCCCTCCTCCTGCCCGTCTTAATTACATGTTCTTCTTTGTTGGCATCTCGGCCCCCCCTGCTTAGGCGCCTTGGTCGGGAGATGTTTTGCTGTTGCCCAGCTGTGTTGTCAAATCCGCCATAATGTGAAACTCCCCTCGCACTATATTATTTACTGTAAAAACAATAGTGTAGCATCAGGAGGAGGCGTTTTTAAAAATAATCACTCTAAATCTCACCATCCTAGCCCAGCAGCTGTTTTAATTTTTCTGTCTTCTTTGCGTCTCTGCCCATATGCCTGCAGTACACGTTTTACACCCTTGTCATTGGGATGTAGAAAGCATTCCTTTGCTGCTTCGCTTGCCTGGTGTCGTTACACATGTTATGCTGTTTATAATTATGTTTATTGACTGTAGAAGTCCATGGAATGTCCCCGCATTGCTGGACTATTTCTTTCCAGATCCCTATCCTTATAAATAATATTACATTGAAAAACTCAGTGCTATGGTTCTCCCCTTCTCCCTTGAATTGTTTCTTTGGGAAAATAGGAGTGGTTGAAGAACGGGCTTTGACATATATTGCTTTAAAAAGTGATTGTCCTAATTTATACTGCTGCTGGCATCTCGTGTTAGTGCACGTGTTTGTTTATTAATTACCATAGGCTGGGCAATTTGGTTTACATCATCTCATGTAATTCTCACACTTGCTCCTCAAAGTATGTGTTACTGTCTCCATTTTTTAGTGGAGGAACCTGATATCAACATTGAAAGGGGTAGGGGTGTGAGTAACTTGCCTGAAGTCACAGAACTAACAAGCGTTGGAGATAGGATGTGAATCTGTGTCCACCAGAACCCAGGACCAATCCAAAGCTCCTTCTGCAAGAAAAGGCTGAACTTTTCAGGGTTATTGCATCCTCATTAGCCGTATAAAAATTAACACATGTTGGCCTCACTTAACAGGTGTTAGTTGTTACACTCCTTGTTTTGATGTGCATTTTGACCTCTGATCTCTGAATGGCCTAAATTATGAATGGAATTTAGAGGGATGGGGCTTTGAGGTCCCCAAGTTCTGTTTTGTCAGTGTGTGCTGGCATCTGAAGAGTGTGTCTGGGTGCCAGATGGTTTTTGGAAACAGAAAGACTCATGCATTCACACTCCTCAATCAACGCATCAGTCTGTAGTCAACAAACTATTTGAGCTCCCTGGATCTGCCCAGATTTGATCAGGGTAGGGAGGGAGAAAGAGAAATGGGCCTTCTTATCGAAGATCCTTCAATCTAGCTATGTAGATGGGAGGTAGTGCAGCTATTGGAGAATGAGATGCCCAGCTATGAAGTTGGGAGTTTCATCCTCCAAGTCAAAAGTTGCCATCTTGGGCCCTGCAAGGTGCTGGGCATTTTTGTTTGTTTGTTTTGTTTTTTGAGATGACATCTGGCTCTGTTGCTCAGGCTGGAGTGCAGTACCCTGATCGTAGCTCACGGCAGCCTCAAACTCCTAGGCTTAAGCGTTCCTGCTGGCTCAGCCTCCCTGGTAGCTGGGACTACAGGCACACACCACCATGCTTGGCTAATTTTTGTATTTTTTGTAGAGATAGGATCTCACTATGTTGCTTAGGCTGGTCTCAAACTCCTGGGCTCAAGCAATCCTCCCGCCTTGGCCTTCCAAAGTGCTGGGATTATAGGCATGAACCACTGTGCCTGGGCCTGCAAGGTGGTTTTAAGAAACTTGAGTAGGTTGACAGTACTCACGAATCTGGAGATTTTATATAAAAATCTGAATTTTTGGCTTCTCTTGAAAAATGGGAGGATTTGGCAACCCTGAGCCTGTCGTCCTACGTGGCAAAAATTGCCTAGAGCTCAGGAGTAGTTGCCCCTTTTGGATGGTTCTCCACTAAGTCTATGTCCCCAGTTACATTGAACTTTTCTCGCCATCCTCTAAATGCTGCAAGAGAGTGAGGAAGCAGAGTGCTTCTGCCAAGCCTGGAGGGATGGAAAGGATGCAGGGATGCATTCCAGGGGGTGGGGATGGTATGAACAGAGCTGAGACCCATTCTCACTAGTGCAAATAAGGCTGGGGACCTTGGCTCCCGTAAATGCCCTGGGACAATACACACAGGGCAGCTAGGACCAGAGCCAGAGAGTTGGGGGGTGGAGAGAGGACCTCTAAGTGAGATGGCGAGTGAGCGCACACTAAATCTCACCTCCACTCCAAATACATAAGAATGATGGCTTAAGACAAAACTACATTTAAAAAATATTAGGAACATCTCTTTGAGCCAGGAATGGGAGAGAAAACATCAGTGTGGTGACCGGGCTTGCAGCTCACACCCTCAGGTTGTGATGAGCAGCGGCTGCCAGGCCTTCAGTGTCCATGTGGGATGGGACTTGGGGCGGGGGCTGCTTGTGGGGGGGAAGGGAGCAGTCGGGAGGTGGGCTTTGTTCCCAGCGGGCGCTGACGTCTCTCTGATAGGGTGACATATGACTGGAGACATCGCTTGCCTGTAGTCCAGGGAAGAAAGGGAAGCTCCTGGTTGGAAACAGAAACTTGTGCTGTATTTGGGGCCCGTGTCTAAGACTGTCATCTGTGCATTCCCAGGTTAGGAGCAGCTGGGGATGATAGTTCCCTTTGTTTCTTCTTTATACAGGAGATTCTGAGAAAATTAATCATGTAAACAATGGTACTAGGGTCATACCTAACCTTCTTAAGAGGTTTTGTAGCAGTACTGTCTCACCTGTTCATTAAAGAAATTCTAGGTTCCTCTAATTGGGGACCCTTTGCAGGGACTTGGGAGTAACTGCATTTCAGAGAATCAGGTGCAAGAGAGAGAAGGATCATCAGGAGTAATCTTGGCTTCTTCCCTCATTTCACAGGTGTGGAAATTGAGACCCAGAGATTGATAAGGTCACACAGCTAGTCAGGACAGAGGCAGGGCTGAGGGCTGATCCCTGGGCTCTCTCCATCCTGGCTTTGCTTCAGAAGCCTTGCTTTCTTTACTTATAAAATGGGGATGGCTTTCTGGCCCGCAAAGTTTTCAAGAACCCATAAAGCATAACAACAAGCTCCTCCCTCCCATTGGGGTAGCCATCTCTCTCCTGAGGCATTGGTGTGCTTTTAGTTTATTTTTATTTATTTATTTTTGGAGAGAGAGTCTTACTCTGTTGCCTGGGCTAGAGTGCCATGGTGTCAGCCTAGCTCACAGCAACTGCCAACTCCTGGGCTCAAGTGATCCTCATGCCTCAGCCTCTTGAGTAGCTGGGACTATAGGTGCATGCCACCATGCCTCGATAATTTTTTCTATTTTTAGTAGGGATAGGGTCTCACTGTTGTTCAGGCTGGTCTTGAACTCCTGAGCTCAAGCGACTCTCCCACCTGGGCCTCCCAGAGTGCTAGGATTACAGGCATGGGCCATCGCACCCAGCCTGATGTGATTGTTTCTTTAGCAGTCAATTCCTCAGGGGGAGGCAGGGAGTGGTGGGTAAGAGCGTGGATTCCGGAGCCAGCCTGACCAGGTTTGGGGTTTGGATCCTTAACCACTTACTGTGTGTGTGACTATGGGCAAGTTACTTAATTTGTTTGTGCCTTTCTTTCCACATCTGGATGACAGTATAATAACAGCATTTGTCTTATTAGATTACAATGAGGATTAAATGAGGTTAAGCATTTTAAAGGCTCTAGAACAATGCCTGACACATCCAAACTCCCAAAGAAATGTTTACTGCCATTATTATTATTATCATTATATCACAGATTGTATTTCCCCTTTTTCTTTGGCAGCCAGGGAACCCACCATTGAATTTGAGGCTTTAGTCTCCCACATAGGACCTAATGGCATGCATTTCTATTTCTGTTGCCCTATAATTCTCTGGCTTATGTAACTATTTGACTTGCATTTTCCCCATCATCCTGATTTCTGTATATTATTGTATCATATGTATTCCTACAAGTTGTTTCAGAACAAGCTTGGCATTAATAAATTAAGAAAAATATAGCAATAGGTTGATTCAGATTGGGCCTTATTTAGTCCAGAATGGTCTTGAATTAGGAGATGAACTGTGCTGTTAAAAACAATCGTAGCTACCGTTTGTGAGGGCTTATTGTGTATTAGCCATTGTCATGCATGCTTTGCACGTATTGCCTTAAACCTCATAATGATCTTGTCAGGTAAGGCCTATTATTTTTCCATTTGGCAGTTGAAAAAACCAAGGCTCAGAGAAGTGCAGTGATTAAGCCTGTGGTTGCCAGCTGCAAGTGGCAGAGCCCAGCTTCAGATGCAGCCTGCCTGACGCCAGAGCACATATTTTTACTCCCTGTTTAATGTTCTAGGAGTCTCTTGAGGTCTCCTCAAGAGACTCCTGGGGGGGAAAGGAGCGATTATTCCAGGTAGCTGACTGATGCTCTCTCTCCCCGTTCCTCTTCTCTTCCAACTGCCGCTGCCGCCTTCTCTCTGCTACCCGGATGCCCCAGAGCCCATGAGGGCGCCCAAAGGCCTGGCCTTTGCCGAGATCCAGGCCCGCCAGCTGACCCTGCAGTGGGAACCACTGGGCTACAACGTGACGCGTTGCCACACTTACACTGTGTCCCTGTGCTATCACTACACCCCGGGTAGCAGCCACAACCAGACCATCCGGGAGTGTGTGAAGACGGAGCAGGGCGCCAGCCGCTACACCATCAAGAACCTGCTGCCCTATCGGAATGTTCACGTGCGGCTCGTCCTCACGAACCCTGAGGGGCGCAAGGAGGGCAAGGAGGTCACCTTCCAGACAGATGAGGATGGTAAGAGTCCCAACCCCGATTCCCCTGGCCCTGAGTGCCTCCCATAGACACCCCATATCTGAGGCTGAATTTATATAGGGAATTTGATTTTGCTTAGGATTAAAACAACTGTATAACAACAAAGTAATGATAGCTAATATTTATCATATTAGTTTTATTTATTATATATATCATATTAGTAATATTTATCATATTAGTCTGGAAGACTTTGGTATTTCTTTTCTTAAGTGTTTGGAAGAATTCAGTGGTAAAGCCATTTGGGCCTGGAGTTTTCTTTGTGGCAAGGTTTTGAATAACAGTTTTAATTTTTAAAACAGATATTGGACTATTCAGATTTTCTATTCTTGTATCAGTTTTGATGGACTGTGTTTTGTAAGGAATTGTTCATTTTGCCTAAATTGTTAAATTCATGACATAAAGTTCACGAATAATAAATTCTAATAATAAATAAATAAAATTCTTTTATTATATTTATTTAATATATATATGATCTATAGTGATATCACCTTTTTCATTCCTGATATTGGTGATTTACATTTTGTTTTTTCTTGTTCACTCTTGCTGGAAGTGTATACAGTTTATTGATTTTTTTCAAAGAGCCAACTGTTGGCTTAGCTGATTTTCTTTATTGCATATTTATTTTCTATTCCTTTTTTTCCTTTTTTATACTTTCTTTGGATTTGATTTGCTGTTCTTTTAGCTTTTTGAGATGAAAGCTTCTTAGATCATTAATTTGAACCATTCTTCATTTTTAATATATGCATTTAAAGCTACACATTTCCCTCTAAGTCCTGCTTTACCTACATACAAGTTTTGATATGTCCTATCTTCATTATCATTCAATTCAAAATACTTTTGATTTCTGTTATGATTTCTTCTTTGACTTGAAAGTTATTTAGAATTATGTTGCTTAATTTCTAAGCAATTGAAACGTTTATAATTTCTTTTTGTTGTTATAATTTCTTTTGTTGATTTCTAGCTTAATTCTATTGTAGTTAGAGTATGTATTCTAAATTTAGTCTTTTGAAATTTGATCCTTGCTTTATGGCCCAACATTTGATTAAATTTTGGTAAATGTTCCATGTGTAATTGGAAAAAAGTACATTCTGTTGCTATTGGATGCAGTGTTCTATATATGTCAAACTAATACTTTCTAAGCACGTAATAGATGTGAAGCAGTATTTTGAATGCTTTTCATATATTACTGCATATAATTCCTGTGACAACCCTGTGTGGTAGGCTATTATTTCTTTCTCCATTTTACAGATGAAGTCACATAGCTGGTAGATAGGTAGCAGGTCTAGGTTTCCAACCTGGCCTTCTGGCTTTGCAGGTATCACTCTTAATAGCTACATTCAAATGCCAGCACAGGTCCAGAGCCTTCCCCCAGATTCCTGAATATCCCCAGGAACTCCTGAGCTCCTAGGTTTATAGTTTTTCTTGCTGCCCCATGTGTGCAGTTTTCTGTTCCACACAACATTGGCCCAGACACAAAATTCAGGTCCTTCCTTGGTTTCCACAAACCCCCATTCACCCAAGGCAGTGTGTGTGCCCTGTGCTGAGGATTTGCTGGGGGTGGGCGTGAGGATCGGATGGGTTTACCCTGAAGCATTGCAAACAGCCTCAAGTTGAACATCAGACCACCCCGTTCTTTTTTTTTTTAAATCATATTATGGAGGTACAAATATTGTTAGGGTTACATATATTGCCCCTGCCATTCCTCCCCCCGCCCCCGCCTTACCAAAACATCAAGTGTGTCCTACCCCCAGGTGGTGCGCATCGCACCTATTTTGTAAGTATAAATTCTTCCCCTCCTCCCCCTCCCATCTGCCCACCATCCGATAAAAGTTTTTTTTTTTTTCTTTTTTTGACCTTTGGGTTACATTGTATATCTTTGCCTTTCCCTAGGAAGGGTTAGAGGTATTCCCCCCCCCATGCTCACCACAATCCTAAGATGTGTATCTCCCCCTCCCCCAAACCCTGGTGAGCACTACCACCATTTGAGCACCATAGTTTTAATCACTCAGTCCCAGTTTGATGGTGAGTAGATGTGGAGCCTTGTGTTTTCTTGATCTTGTGTCACCTCACTTTGGATAACGGGCTTAAGCTTAATGCAGGATAGCATAAGTGGTGCTAGCTCACTGTCGTTTCTTAGAATTGCGTGGTATTCCATTGTGAGCATATACCAAATTTTAATTATCCACTCAGGAATTGACGGACACTTGGGTTGTTTCATGATCTTGCAATAGTGAATTGTGCTGCCATAAACATTCAGGTGCAGATGTCTTTATAATAGAGAGATTTATATTCTTTTGGGTAGATGCTCAACAATGCTATTGCTGGGTCGAATGGTATTTCTATATCTAGCTGTTTGAGGTATCTCCAAATTCTTTCCCATAGAGGTTGCACTAATTTGCAGTCCCACCAGCAGTGTAGGAGTGTTCCTGGCTTTCCACATCCTCCATTCCAATCCATTTGTTGTTTTGGAATTTCTTGATACAACCCATTGTCACTGGTGTTAGATGATATCTCATTGTAGTTTTGATTTGCATTTCTCTGATGATTAGAGATATTGAGCATTTTTTATATGTTTGCAGGCCATTATTCTGTCTTCTTTGGAGAAGTTTCTGTTCATTTCCATTGCCCATTTCTTGATGGGAATGTTTGATTTTTTTCTTATTTATTCTTTTCAGTTCTAGATAGAGTCTTATTATTAGACCTTTTGTTTTTTGAGACAGAGTCTCACTTTGTTGCCCAGGCTAGAGTGAGTGCCATGGCGTCAGCCTAGCTCACAACAACCTCAATCCCCTGGGCTCAAGCGATCCTGCTGCCTCAGCCTCCCGAGTAGCTGGGACTACAGGCATGCGCCACTAAGCCCGGCTGATTTTTTTCTATATATTAGTTGGCCAATTAATTTCTTTCTATTTATAGTAGAGACGGGGTCTCGTTCTGGCTCAGGCTGGTTTCGAACTCCTGACCTCGAGCAATCCGCCCTCCTCGGCCTCCTAGAGTGCTAGGATTACAGGCGTGAGCCACCGCGCCCGGCCTATTATTAGACCTTTATCAGAAGTGTAGAGAGCAAATATTTTCTCCCACTCTATGGGTTGTCTATTTGCTCTAATGATGGTTTCCTTAGCCGTGCTCAAACTTTTTAATTTGATGAGATCCCATTTGTTTATTTTTAAAGCAGCGGTGATTGTCTTGGGGCTCTTCCTCAAAAATTCTTTGCCTAGATCAATGTCTGATAGGTTTTTCCCAACATCTTCTAGAATTCTTAAGGTTTCATGCCTTAGGTTTAAGTCTGTTATCCATCTTGAGTGAATTTTTGTGAGAGGTGAGAGAGAGGGATCCTGTTTCAATCTTCTACATGTAGCCCACCAGTTTTCCCAGCACCATTTATTGAAGAGGGATTCTTTTCTCCATTGTATATTTTTCAGACCACTCCATTCTTAAAGTCTCCTGACTTCTGCCCCCTGCCTCTGCCCTGCCCTCTAGGTGTGTGGTTTTGGCTGCTTCACCCCACGTTCATCAGCCCTCAGTTGGGCTGCTTGGTCTTCTTTCTCTTCCCTTCTCCTCCAATAACTGCTCATTATTTAATATTTTTTACTTGTCATCGAAATATTAATATAGCACTTACAGGAATTGTGCTTATCTTAAGTGGTCAGCTTGAATTCACACAGACGGGACCTCTCCCAGTCACTACGTCCCGAGGGTAAACATTATCCTGACCTGTAACGCCATAGATTAATTTTTCCTTGGTTTTGGACTTTATATAAACGGAATCATATAGTGAGTATTCTCTGTATGAACGACTTCCTTCTGTCAACTGCATGCTCGAGAGCCTCCGCCATATTGTGTGTGAATTCATTCTCATTGCTGTAGAGTCCACTGTGGGAATACACCACATTTATTTATCCTACTTACTGCTGTTGGGCATTGGGGTTGTTTCCAGGTTTGGGCCATTTTGAATAATGCTGCAAGTAAAGTCCTTGTAGATGTTTTTCTCTTGGTAGAAATTACACATTTCTGATGGACATGCCAGGAGTAGATAGTCTAGCTTACAGGGTATGTGTTCATTTTTAGTAGATGCAGCCAGACAGTTTTCCAAAGTGGTTGTACCAATTTACACTCCTACTAGCTGTGGAGATGGATGGGTGGATAGTGGTATTGCTTTGTAAACCGTTTGTTTTAACACAGAACAGCTGAATTTTCATTGGTTATTATCTTGGTTTCTGCTTTTTCCTGTCTTAGGACTTTAGCTTCCCCACAATGTTTCATCAGGGTATTTTCCCAAAGACCATTCCCTTCCTAGGCAAAATTTCTGTGCTTGCTGTTAGGAAAATACATTAAAACAAAACCAAAACCAAAATATGCTTGAAAGTATTTAGGTAAAATGTTAACGGTATTTATCCCTGGTTGATACCATGGTAGGTGTCATTAATTTTCTTTATGCTCATTTAAATTTTCTACATTGGACATACACAGTTTATGTCATTAGAAGTTTTTAGACAAGAAAATCTCTACCTGTGGTTCTGCTACCGTAATGCAATTGTTATTTTCATTTCTCTGGCGGTCGTCTATATTTTCTGAAAGCTACCCAGTTGGAACAAAATAGGAGCCTTCAGACGTTCTTCTCTATTGAATGCAACCTGCACAATAATGAAAATGCGAGCTATTCTTTTTGAGTACTCAGGAATAGGTTTAACTGTGTGAAATTACTTTGGGGCTTTTGTGCATCAATTCATTTAGTCCTGGTTAGAGAGGGGTTATATCATCCCCATTTCACAGATGAGGAAATTGAGGCTCAGGGAGGTTGAGTAGTCCAACTGAACCAGATAGGAAGTGGCAAGGCCAGAGTTTGCACCCAGGTATCTGGTGCCAAGCCCACTTTCCTGGCCCCCTGCCGCCTTTCTCTTGCAGTGCCTGGTGGAATTGCAGCCGAGTCCCTGACGTTCACTCCACTGGAGGACATGATCTTCCTCAAGTGGGAGGAGCCCCAGGAACCCAATGGCCTCATCATTCAGTATGAGGTGGGTGTGGGACCCTGTCACAGGGGGTGCCCGTGGTGGAAGCTGAGGGGATGGCCCTCTTTCCCTCTGGTGCAGTAGGGTGGAGAGGGATGTGCATGGAGAAGACAGGTGATTGTCACTGTTCCTTCAACTGTGGCCAGCGCCTGTGCCCTGTGGGTTATGGGGAAGGGAGTCCTGAAGGCAGGAGGGAGAGGCGAAGGTGTCCAGAAGCCTGGCCTGATGGATCTGTGGTCCCCTTTGCCCCCTGTGACATGGTGGGGGGGAGGCTGCTGGTCAGCGATGGCCTGCCCCATCCCGTGCCTGCCTGCCTGCCCATCCTGTCCCCAGATCAGCTACCAGAGCATCGAGTCGTCAGACCCGGCGGTGAACGTGCCGGGCCCACGACGTACCATCTCCAAGCTCCGAAACGAGACCTACCATGTCTTCTCCAGCCTGCACCCAGGCACCACCTACCTGTTCTCGGTGCGGGCCCGCACGAGCAAAGGCTTTGGCCAGGCGGCACTCACTGAGATCACCACCAACATCTCCGGTGAGCCCCGCAGGGGCATCTGGGGGTGGTTACAGAGGGCCCCTGCTGAGATCCATGTGCCATTTAGGGGTTGGAGTTGGGGGTCAGGGAGGATTAAGTCAGAGAGGTCAGGAGACTATGGCTAGTGGAATCAGAGGGTTGAGGTTGGGGTTGGTGCCCAAGGTCAGGGGCCAGCAAAGAGGGTGAAGGGGAAGAGATCTGAAGACACTGGTCAAGGAGGCTGGAGGCATGGCCTTCCTGATCCAGTGGCCAAGCTCCATGCTAATGTCCCTGTCCCCTATCCCCAGCTCCCAGCTTCGATTATGCCGACATGCCATCGCCCCTGGGCGAGTCTGAGAACACCATCACCGTATTGCTGAGGCCGGCACAGGGCCGTGGTGCACCCATCAGGTGGGAAATCCTGGATGGAGGGGCGGGAGGCCAGGGCCAGAGCCACCACCCAGGCCAGCTCATGCTTGTCCTCCCTCAGTCTCCCACGCAGGGGCTGTCTGGAAGGGGATGTCCTGTGGTCCTGGACAGGCAGGAAGCCAGTACTCCCCTCTGAGGCCATGGGTTTTGGATGGCGACTGTCATGAGGTCTCCGGATAGTGTCCAGCCCGGAGAGGGGACTGTCCAGGTCTCTGTAGGGGTCCTTCCCTTAGACACCTTGGAGATGAGAAACTGTGGGGGCCTTTCTTCTTCCCAGCTCTTTTCCTGGAGATACAGGATGGGCTTTCTAGAAGTCTAGGGCAGCTGGACAGATAGTGGCCAGGAGCTTGGCTTCTCTGCCACCTCCTCCCTAGAGGAAGTTGGGGCTGCTGATGGCTCGGTGGCTGCCTCTGCTGGGGAGGAGATGGCGTGTGTCTGTGTGGTGTGTGTGTATGTTCGATATGAGCTGGGGTGTGTTTTGTGATAAAGACATGTGACGTGTGTGTGATGTGGAGGTGTGAGTGTGTGCAAGAGGTGTGTGTGTGCAATATGAGTGTGCATGTATGTGAGAGCATGAAGGTGCTTGTACAAGTGTGTGCACCTACTGTTAGCCTGGTGCTGTGCTAGGGGGTTTAGCTGCACGAAGTCATTTTATCCTTGTGGCAGCCCTGTGGAGTGGGTATTATTACCCTCATTTTACACATCAGGAAACTGACTCAGAGGGCCTAAAGCGCCTGTCCCCAAGGCCACGGAGCTAGAAAGTGATAGAGCTGGGATTTGGAACCCAGGTCTGTCTGCAAAGCCTATACCTTTTGTAGAAGTCAGAGTGCCTTCCTTCCCTCTGGTCTGCCTCTTCCTTCCACAAAGGTACACACACTGGCAGAGGGTGACAGCCTTTAGGTGGGAGGTGGGCGGGTCCTACTCAGCCCCTCAAGAAGGTGGTAGGTTGCCCAGGTGCCCTTGGCAGTTTCTCACCTCCCCATGCCCATTTCATCTCCCCCCGACCTCTGCCTTGTCTCCCCCATGTCTGCCACTGCAAATCCTGTCCCGGGCTAGTTCCCAGACCCTCAAGGGAGACGAGGAAAAAGTCAGGGCATATGCGGGGCATTTTGCATTTTGCTGGAGCCTCAGGTCCCTTGTGTGGCTGAATCTGGGAGAAGTTGGGACACTCTTCCTTCCTTGTCCTTGAAGGTCCTGTGAGCAGGACTGATCAGGGTCCCTAGGGATGGTGATGACAAGGCTGAGTGGGGACGGGGGTGGGACATGGTGTGATCCTGGGCATGTCCCTTCACCTTCCTGAGCCTCATTTCCATATTTGCATAATACGGCCTTTTCCAGATTCAGAGGTACTTTGTTCATGGCTGACGTTCATTGTTATCTCCTGGTGGGATTTAGGGCTGGGAGCGGCCTGCCCTCAGCCTGGGGAAAGGGAGGCTGCGAGGGGCTTGCACTGGTGTCTATAATAGGCTAGTGACAGTGGGCTAGTGACCAACCTGAGATGATTCCCCGCAACTTGGAACCTCGCAAGGAACATCTAGAGAGCAAGGAAAAGGCATTTCGTCTTCCCAGAGAGAGGCTGTCAGTATGGGATGCCACACTGAGACGTGACTGAGGCTGTGACTGGAAATATTTAAATTTGTCAGCATTCACGTGTTTGCTCTTGGCTTTGTCCCACAGAGGATTTGGAGGAGCTCACAGCAAAAGCTCGTTCAGTAGAGTGATAAAATAAACAGAAACACAGACGTCGGGACTGGAGAACACAAATCAGTGGGGTAGTCAGCACCCGGAGACAGCAGGGCTCCATTTGCAGACTAGAGGCTGCCTCAGGGTTGAGAGGGTGCTAGACATGTAGTGTGACACGTGTCCTTCCTTGCTAAGTGACCATCTCTCCCGCTACAGGTCAGTTCCAGGAGCCCAGATGCCTAAGTGCTTAGCACAGGGCTCATCATCCGAGCTCAGTAAACTCTGAATGAATGAATGAATGGATCTGGTAACCTTGTAAGCTGCTGAGGCCAAAGGGAGTTGTGGAGTGGCTTCCGTTTCCCAGGTGTTGTGTCACAGGCAGGGGGACTCACTGAAGAGGCAGAGTGAGGCCTCCTGGTTTGGTTCCACTAAGCAGGGCCCACGATTCCCTCAGCCTTGGTTAGTACCAGGAATAGCAGCTGACTCCGGCTGCTTGCTAAACTTGCCCGTTCCTCAGGTCTGCCTCATGGAACAGTCCTGTGATCACTCCCATTTTATAGTGGAGGAAACTGAGGCCCAGGGAGGTTAAGTGACTTGCCCAGCTGGTAAGGGGCAGAGTGGAGATTAGTCCTCAGGTGGGCTCGACCCCAGCCCTCGCCGTCCTGTGACCTCCAGTGATCACTTGCACTCTCCCCTCCCTCCCAGTGTGTACCAGGTGATTGTGGAGGAGGAGCGTCCGAGGCGACTGCGGAGGGAGCCAGGTGGCCAGGACTGCTTCCCAGTGCCACTGACCTTTGAGGCGGCGCTGGCCCGAGGCCTGGTGCATTACTTCGGAGCTGAACTGGCAGCGAGCAGTCTGCCTGAGGCCATGCCCTTCACCGTGGGTGACAACCAGACCTATCGAGGCTTCTGGAACCCACCACTTGAGCCCAGGAAGGCCTACCTCATCTACTTCCAGGCAACAAGCCACCTGAAGGGGGTGAGGGACTGGCCAGGGTCGCAGTGGGGGTGTCTGGCGTGGGGGATGGCTGGCTGGGGACACCTTGGAGGCGCTCCCCACCCAGAGACGGGAGACCCCCCTAGGCCCCGCCCCTCCCATATCCCCGTCCTCCCATATCCTGACCCCTCCCACATGTCTGCCCTCCCATAGCCCAGCCCCCCATAACCCCTCCTTTTTACAACCCTGTCCTCCCACTGCCCTCTCCTTCTATAACCCAGCTCCTCCCACAGCCCCGCCCTCCCATAGCCCAGCCCCTCCCACAGCTCCACCCTCCTGTGGCCCTCCCACTGTCCCGCCCTCATCACTGCCCCGCCCTTCCACTGTCGGCCCCTCCCCGTAGCCCTAGCTGCTTAAAGCCTCCACCTCCCTATGGCCCTACCCTCACACTGCCCAGTCCCGCCCATGCCCCACCTTTTCTATAGCCCATCCCTCTCATAGCCCCGCCCTCCTGGCCGCAGGCTGTGTCCCAGCGAACACTACCCCCTTGCTGAGCCTTCTTTCCTAGGGTCCTCTCTACCTAGGCCCCCAGTCTAGTCCCTGCCCTTTCCTGAGGCCATACCTTCTGTCTCAGGTGCCTCTTCTCAGAGGAGCCCATCTCACGCCTCCCTTAGGCCCCGCCCTATACTCCAAGCTCCTCCCTCCTCCATCACCCCTTCCCTGGCTTCTCCCTAGCCTGACCTCCAGGCCTAGACCATGCCCTCACTTCGAGGCCCCGCTCTTTTCCCCTGGGTGGAGCCCGGCCCTCCTGCTGGGTGGGTGGGGGCCCTTAGCTATAGTCCCTACAAGACAAAGCCCTGATTCTGCTCAAGAATGGCTACCTTAAGTTCCTGCCCTGGGGAGGGGGAGATTGCGGCTTCTGCCCGGCTGAGACCCCATCTGTGCCTCCAGGAGACCCGGCTGAATTGCATCCGCATCGCCAGGAAAGGTAAGTCCCTCTGGATGTCCTTCAGCGGCAGATTTCTCACCTGCTCACCTCTGGGGAGGCAGAACCTGAGGTCCCAGGAGTGTGGGAGCACAGGAGGGCGGATGGGCAGGCCTGGTGTCAGGAAGGGCTTCCCATCTTGGCCCCATGAGCCCCACTTCTCAGGGGCTCCTTCTCCCAGGCTGGCAGCAGGGCCTGCCCTCCCGAGCCCTCCCTGAGGTCACAGAAGGGGCCTGGCAGAGGGACAGACCTGTGGAAGGAGCCCTTACGGTTGGGCCTAGGGGGTGCTGGTTACTGGGAACTGGTTCTGGGTTCTGTATCTGCCCCCTTTCCTGTGGTGGGAGAGAGAGGTGGGGACAGCATGGACCAGGGTGCAGGGATTGTCCCTGTTCCAGACAGGGAATGGGGTTGTTTTCCCATCCTGAGATGTCCTAGTCATACTGAGGTCCATAATTCTTTCTCCCTGTCATCTCTGAGGAAGGCAAGAGGGTGAGTCTGAAGGCCCAGGTGTTGTCCCTCCCCTTTCCCCTGAGTGCTGGGGAGGGTTTGATAAAGTGGAGAGGAGAGGGAGGCTGTTCCCAATGAGGAGCAGCTCAAGGGATGACTCTGATGTGGAAGTGCAGGAGCTACAGAGGGAGGAGGAGAGACGGCGAGGGGGCAGATCTGATGGGAAGGCAGCACCACATGGGGGATGAGGGGTCGTTGTCTTTGTGCACGTGTGTTTGTGCAGCCCAGTTTGTTCCTTGGGGCATGGACTCCTGCAGAAGGGGCTCGTTGGTCCCTGTCTCCCCTCTGATCCTTTGCCCTGCTTTGTTCTCCCAGCTGCCTGCAAGGAAAGCAAGCGGCCCCTGGAGGTGTCCCAGAGGTCGGAGGAGATGGGGCTTATCCTGGGCATTTGTGCAGGGGGGCTTGCTGTCCTCATCCTGCTCCTGGGGGCCATCATTGTCATTATCCGCAAAGGGTGAGTGAGGCTGGTGCCCTGGCCCGCCAGTGGCTTCTGCCCCTTAGAAGCCTGGGGGGCACCGAGGCTTGGTGGGGGCTGGTAGGGTGGCCACCTAGCGGGTGTGTGGAGGTCTGCATCTGATCTTGGGCAGGGCCCCACCCTCTCTTGGGCTCAGTGTGCCCTGGACCCTGTTACTGTGGATCCCTGAGGAGCCCTCCTCGTCTTGTGACTGAAAGAAAGCCCCCTTCCTCTTCCTACTGTCCCTTAGACCTCAAAGGTCAGCCTTGTGTTTGCACGGGATGTGTTTTCTAGTGCATTTTATAGAGGGCAGCATGAATCCTAACACATTTTAGAACCCATGACTTAGAATCTTGCAGTTTCAGAAATCCAGAATTTGAAATTCTGAGAATCTCAGACTTTAGAATTGCAGAGGCTCAGAAGCCAAGAACATGACAGCTGCCAGGTAGGTCAAGGCCATCTAGTCTAGTGGTTTCCAAGTCTTTTTAAAGCAACAGAACCTGTCTTCGAAACACCAAAAAATTCTCCCCTGGGAGCCCAGCACATAGAGCAGATGACAGCTGGGCAGCAGCTGTGGTTGGAAGCAGGATGGGGGCTTCTGAGACCCCTCTGTTTGCCAGCCCACCCCACCTCATTCCCACCAGACAGCCCAGACACTGTGGTCCAAGCACTTTAACTAAGGGATAGGAATGCTGAGGCCCAGAGGAGTGCAGACCTGCCCAAGGTCACCCAGGGAGCCAGAGGCAGAGCCAGCTCCACCCCTCCCCACCTGGGCTTTGGCTTCTGGAGCCCCTGCTGCTGCCAGGCTGGGCACACATGGGTAGGCTGGCACTGGATCTCTGGGCTGCTGGGAGCAGATAAGTAGGATCCAGGAAGATGAGAATGAGCTGGCGAGGGCCACCTTGCCTGAGGCCAGGCACCAGCAGGAGAGAGAGACTAGGGGTGGGGTGTGCCCAGAGTAGGGGCTGTGGGGGGATGGCCTGTGCAGGGCATTAGACATTAGATTTTTCCATTCCCTAGTCCCCGCACAGCTTTATCAGAGAATATTCTATTTTATCTTGTGTTTTAGAGATAGCTCTTGCTCTGTCACCCATGCCGGAGTGCAGTAGTGCAATTATGGTTCACTGTCGCCTCAGACTCCTGGGCTCAAGAGATTCTCCTGCCTCAGCCTCCCGAGTAGGTGGGACTATAGGCACGTACCCCCACACCTGGATAATTTTTCTTATGTTTTGTAGAGATGGGATTTCTCTATGTTGCCCAGGCTGGTCTTGAACTCCTGGCCTCCAGAGATCCTCCTACCTGGGCCTCTCAAAGTGCTGGGATTTTAAACGTGAGCTACCTCATCCAGCTGAGAGAATATTTTAAACCATCATTTCATGAGTAATCACAATGTGTCAGGAGCTTTACACATATCAGCTATTATTACATTAGTTATTGAGTGCCTGCTGTGTGCCAGGCACTGTTCTAGCACTCAGGGTATGTCAGAAAAACATTTCCTTCTCGGGTCTTGACCCGTGAAACAGGTCTGACTCCCTTTTTACAGATGCAGAAATGGTAATGAAAACACCTTGCCATGTCTCTGTGTTGGTCAGTGGCGGGGTCTGATTTGAACCCAGGCCTGCCTACACATCTGAAAGGCCTCACTGAGTTGGGTGCACAGGTGGTGACACCGAAGTGTCAAGTGCCTGACTGCTCCCCAGCAGGGGGCCTGAGAGGTGACTCTAAGTGGGGTTGGGCTGGGGCTGAGCGTGGAGGGGCTATATAGCAGGGGTCAGATTTTAGGGGGTTTCAGGTAGTATTTGAGGTCCTAGAAGTCAACCCTCAAGGAGAGAGATGATAGGCAGAGTGGGGGTGTCACCCACCCCTGCAGAGAGAGTGTTGGGCCCAGGAGAGGGTGGATCAGAAATGCTGTCAGGGCCTTGCTGGGAAACCCTGCCTTATGCAGTGGCTACTCCATAAACCCAGGCTATCCCAGGTGCCTCTAGGCGCCTCCCAGCCCGTCCCCTTGTGCCCACTTACTTCCTCTAAAAGCCACTCAGCCCTACTGTATAGCACCTCACTGATCCCTCTGCATCCTACCTTGGCCTCACGGCCCCTGTGCCCGCAGGGCTTTCCCAGTCTGCATTGTGGGTAGGACGGGCAGCTCTGGCAGGGACGGGTGTTCAGATCAACTTGGGGTGTGATCGTAACGGGCCCTGTTGGAGGCAGGAGGAGGTGGGGGGCGTAGGAAACAGTCAGGGGACAGCTGGGAGGAGGTTTCAGATTCTCCATCCTGTCCTGCCCATGGGGACAGTCAGACTGGATGCAGCTGCCCTAGCTGAATTGCGGCGCCCAGAAGGAAGGCTGGTGACCCCAGGCCAGGTCCCCTGGTTCTGCTTCCGGAGGCCCCCGAGTCCCACCTTTCTCCTTAGCAGCATTTTCTTCTCCCTCACTTTTTTGTGTACTCACTGGTAGCGCATTGCTCGGTGTTTGTCTTCCCGACTGCATTAAGAGCTCCATGAAGTTCTGTCTTGTGGGCTGTATGTCCCCATGGTCTAGCCCAGTAGGGTCTGGTTCCCCAGCTCACCAGGAGTGGGGATGCAGGGGAGCACATGGCTTCCTGATGCTTAAACCTCAAGGCAGTCCCTGTGGGGGGACTATTAACCTCACTCTCTTAGAGGAGGAAATGGAAGCTTATGGAGGTGAAGTTCTGTCATTTATTTTCAGTCCTTTATTGATTACTCAATTCAAAGAAATATTTATTGAGGGATTATAATGTGCTGGGCCCTGGGGATCTAGTGGGCAAAAAAGAAGAATCCTGTCTTCTTGTGCTCCTCTTATAGCTAGTGGGGAGCCTGGCATCAAATTAGAAAAAGCACAAATGGATGAGATAATTACAGATTGTGAAAAGAACAAGGTGGGGGTGCAGAGAGAACACAGGAGACATGATGTAGTTGTCAATTGTGGGAGAGTGGTCAGGGAAGGCCCTTTTGAAGTCGTAACATTTCGGCTGGGACCAGAAGAATGCCATACCTTCAGCCAGCCCCATGCCCCTTTGGGGCCTTTGCCACCAGCTCCATGATCCTGGACCCTCTTCTTTCTCCCTGGGATGGAGATGTGCTGTGTGACTTTGAGCCAATCTCCTGCCCTTGCTGGCCTCAGTCCCTACTCTCCTCCCCTGGATCTGCAGGGTTTCCTGTGGAAGGCCATTTGCTGGGGTCCCGGCTGATGGGGTGATACGGGGGCAAGTCAGTGGAGGACCCTGGAGTGTGCCTGGATGAGGCCTCAGGATGGAGCACAAAGGAGGTTCAGGGGCCGGGGACAGGGACAGGCACCCAGAGGCCTAAGGCCTGCTCTGGACTCCACCACGGACTCCCCATGACTCATCTTCTCCTCTGTGAAATGGGAATCAGACCTGCTCTGTACTGTGGGCTTTGTGGTAACATGGGGCTCTTCACCTAAGCTGTGCTTCGGGTGCCCCGTGAGGGGGTGACCCGGCTGCTTTAGTGGACCCCACAGCCAGGTGGGCAAGGGCGGGCCCTCGGTTTGCCCAGGGCATCTGGCTGGAGTCCTTTCCACCCTGCCCCCTCCCTGTCCCCAGCCATTCTTTCTTTCCCAGGTGGTGGTGGATGCGAAGGGCTGTCACAGGGGCCTGCAGGGACCGAGGGTGGGCTTGTCTGCAGGAATGAGAGCAGTTACCGTTGAGTGTGTGAGTGTGTATGTGCGGATGTCTATGAGTGTGTTTTTTTGAATATATGTCTGTGTGAGTGCGTGTCAGTGTGTCTGAATGTGTGGATGAGTGTGTCTGCACATGTGATGTCTGCATTTGTGTTTCCCTGTGTATGGGCGTATGTGTGTATGTATCTATACGTGTATCTGTTTAGGTGTGAGTGTGTCTGTGTGTATATTTCTTTCTGTGTATGCATGTGTGTATGAGTGTGTGTGAAAGCTCTGTGTACCCCCAGGCCCTTTTCCCACCTCCTCCTCACTCCAGCAGCAGGCTCAGGGAAGGTTCTGGAAGGGCCTTTGGTCCTGGTCTTCAACATCTGAGCCTGGCTGGCCCTTGGGAACAAGAAGGCCCTCCTGACCTGTCCAGTCCCTGGCCAGCCCCTCCCCAGCACGGGAGGCACCCAGGCCCTGCCCTGCTGGCTGGGCACTGCCCTCAGCCTGGCCCTGTGGCCCAGGACCACAGACACACTTGCTGTTCTCTCTTTGCACGCTGCCAGGAGAGACCACTATGCCTACTCCTACTACCCGTAAGTAGCTCCCCGTGGCTCTCGCCCTCTCTGGCTGGGCTTGGGCTCATGCACCTGGCCTGGCCTCGTGTCAGCCACATTGTCCACAGCCACTGTGGCCTCTGACTCTCCCTCCTGCTCTGTGTCTGCTCTGTGTCTTCTTCCCTGAGTTGTGGTCACAAGTGCTGGTCCTGTAGTCAGAGTCGTGGGTCACAGCTGGTTCTGCTGAGCCTTCCTGGGAGGCCATGTCACCTCCCTGAGCCTCGGTGTCATCTCCACCACTGGGTCAGCCCCTTCTGTCCTTGTATTGTTCCTGGTGGTCAGAAGGACAGCCTGACCTCAGCCCAAACCCATGTCCAGGACTGTGCTCACGTGGGTTCCCTCTGGAGTCCTCACCATTGTACATGTGTGTGCATGGGGGTGGGGCCAACCTGTGCCACACTGGCAGCTCCGCCCACAGTGTGGATACTGCTTCCGTCCCCACGAGCCACTTCTCCAGCCCCAGCTTTGCAGACCCAGCACTTCCTGGGCACTTCCTCTAGGCCAAGCCCTGTGCTCAATTCTTGACACAGAATTTTCACAGCGGCCCTGAGCAGCAGGATATCATCACTGTCACTTTCCTGATGGGGAAACTGAGGCTCAGAGAGGTCGAAGGACTTGTCAGAGGTCTCCTGGGGTTACAACCCAGGCCCTCTGGCTGACTCCACAACCTGCACTGCTACTTTGTTTTCTGTCTCTGTCTTCTACTCTGCAGGCCTTCCAGAGCATTCCTCCCAAACCTGTGCTTGTTTCCCCTCCCTTGCAGAGCAGGCCCAGATGGCACCTGGCCAGCCAGGAGGACAGTGGGTCTCACCTCCTGCCCCCCTCCCCCCCACCTGCCACTCACACTGTTGTTTCCCAACATGAGCTTTTCCAGCAACTAAATACCCATCCACTCCGCTGGGCCTCCCGCTCGCTCGGCGTTTGCAGGGATTGCTGATGAGGCGCTTCTCCCTGCTGCTGCTCGTGCAGTTGATTTTTATGCGGTTTCTTTCTTTCTTTCTTTTTTTTTTAGAGACAAGATTTCATTCTGCTGGCCAGGCTGGAGTGCAGTGGCGTTATCACAACTCACTGTAATCTTGAACTGGGCTCTAGTGATCCTCTTGCCTCAGTCTCTCAAGTGGCTAGGACTACAGGCGTGTGCCACCACACCCAGCTCATCTTTTATTTTTAAACATTTTTTGTAGAGATGGAGTGTTGCTATGTTGCCCAGGCTGGTTTTGAATTCTTGGCCTCAAGTGATCCTCCTGGCCTCCCAAAGTGTTAGGATTACAGGCGTGAGCCACTGCACCCAGACTGTGGTTAATTTTTGAAACTAAATGCAGAACTTTTCAAAGGGTCTGTGTTGAATTCCATCTGTTTAATCTCGCATGGAGATCAGCCGGATCCCGGCAGAGTGCTGGGTGTCCCTCTCGAGTTCTGTCTCCTGCGGATCCGGCTGGTTGGTTTTCGTGGTTCTTCTCCAAGTGGGCCGGGAGTCGCGGGCAGGAGCAGAGCCCTGCGGCACACGCTGGGGACTGCCCGCCGGCCAGCGTCCGCTCACTGGGGGTGCTCCCAGGGCCCCCTGTTCAGCCAGCCTGGCCGGCTGCCGTGTGTCCTGGCCCTGTCTGTCTGCCCTGCGGTTGCTGTGTCTGTCCCTCCCTCCCTCTCTGTCCCCTTCCCCACATCCTCTCTGTCCTTGTTACTGTCCCTTCTCTCTCTGCTCCTCCTCCTGCCCTGTGTCCTCCTAAGTCTCTGCCCTCTGCCAGGTGGTCACGGTCACAGCCACAGCGGCTCCTCCTCACCTGCCCCCAAAGCGGTCTGTGGCTCCGCCCGGCCACGGTGACGGCGATGCCCACGGCCGGCGGGGCTGGAGGGGGAGGCTGGCCTGCCGTGTCCCTCTGCGCACAGCAGCAGCGGTCCCGGTGTGGACACAGCTGCCTTCTGAGCACAGGAGGGACATCCTGGCCCAGGACAGGCTGACTGGAGTTTGCCTGTCTGGGAAAATCCTTTCTTCGGCTTCCTTGTCTCCACAGATGGTCACTGCCCTGAGCACTCACAATCTGGAAATCCTTCCTCAGGTCCTCCCACATCCTGCGTGCTGTAGGGTGGGGCAGGGGAACCCTTCCTCATGATTGGCCCCTCGGGCTGTTCTCCCCCTCGGCAGGGGTCCCGAGTCGTTCCCCTTTGCCTGTTTCTGGTCATTGGTCATGAAGGCGTCCCTGCCTCCCCGCCTCCTTTGCTCCCTCCTCTTCCTCCAGGTTCCTCCAAAGCCACTAACTTCTATCCTCATCCGGAAGCTGGGCCTGGAGGGAGGGGTGCCTCTCAGTCTGTGCCCTGCAGCTTTCAGCAGCAGGATGGACTGGTGGGCAGTGGCAGGTAGTGGACCTGTGGTGATCTCTCTACAGGTCTATGGTGGTCCATGGTGGGATCATCCTAGGGGGTTCTGGGAGTAAGAGGAAGCCAGGTTGGTGTTCACGCTGTGCCTGGAGGAAAGCTCCCGAGCACGGGCTGAGCACTTGCCTGACCCTCGGCCGTGAAGGAGGAGTGTATCCCTCCCTCCTGCAGGAGAAATAGGAGTCCCCAGGACAGGTCTCTAGTGAGAACAGGGGGAGGAGGGGGGAGGTGGGGACGTGCTGGGGCCGGGGCTGGGCCAGCCGCCTGCCTGATGCAGTGGTGGTGACTGCTGTGACACCAAATCAGGCCCAGAGTGACTTTCTTCCCATTCTGAGCCCACGAGGGCCAGTGAGAGTCCCAGCCCGAGGCCACTGCTGCTCTGTCCTCGGTGCTCCGCCCAGGTCCCCAGGGCAGGGACCCTGCCAGCCCTTTGGGGGAGGCAGCAGCTCCCGGGTTGCTGAGTGGAGGATGGCGGCAGAGCCCCCTCAGCACCCAGAGACGCTTCCAGACAGCTGCAGCTCCTGGCCTCAAGGCCCCTGACTGCTGGGCCTCCCCCACCCTGGGTGCTGTCCAGCCCCGCGCAGTGCCCGCGTCCCCTGTCCACGCCCTCTGCAGGAAGCCGGTGAACATGGCCAAGGCCACCGTCAACTACCGCCAGGAGAAGACCCACATGATGAGCGCCGTGGACCGGAGCTTCACGGACCAGAGCACCCTGCAGGAGGACGAGCGGCTGGGCCTGTCCTTCATGGACACCCACGGCTACAGCTCCCGGGGTGAGTGCCGGCCCTCCCGCCCCTTCCTCGGGGCCCTGGGGCTCCCCACCTGGGCTGACAGGGTCGAGCCTCTCTGGGGCCCCCACATGACATGAGTTCTGTAAGACCCCTAGTGAAAAGTTAAGCATCTACTGTGCTCCGGCTGGGTGCACTGGCACAGGGCGTGCAGAGGAGGCGCAGGTGTGTGTTGTGTTGTGCGCTGGAGGAGCCTGCAAGGAATTCTGCTGACACACGAGGGATGCAAGACGCACCGTGCCGGTTGTCAAGGAGGAGGAGGAGAGTGCTGCTGTGTGAACTGAGGGACCACAGCAGCCTCGCCCTTTATTGAGCACCTGCTGTGTGAGAGGCGGGGTCCAGTGGCTGAGACTGAGACTGAGCGATATAGGGTCACACAGACCTGGGCTTGCCTGGCAGATCCCCTTCTTAGCTGTGCGACCCGGGGCAAATTGCTTGACCTCTCTGGATGTCTGTTTCCTCATGTATAAAATGGGAATAAAGATCACCTCTGCTGGTAGGACTGGTGTGAAAGACCAGTGTGTTGTGCCTGGAGCCACAGAACATGGTGAATCAGCTGTTAGGTGCTAGGAGTGTGTCATAATTGCTTCATCCCACATCTTTTTATTCCATTTAGTGTTGATTTGTATAAAAGAAAATATGTAATGTTTATGAAAGTCATGAAGTCATGATAATATAACAAGCACTAGTGAACTGAACTGGGGAATTAGAACATTATCTCAGTGCTTCTCCTTCGCTACATCCCTGCCTCCCTCTTAGTATGTAAATATTCCTCTGAAATTTGTGTTTATAATTTTCTTGTCTTTTTGGGGGTAATTTTACCCTGTGTGCATATGTCCCCAAATAATGCATCATATAGTTTTGCTCATTTTCAGGCTTTATAAAAATGAAATCACACTCTACTTTTCAACTCAACATCATGTTCCTAATATTTACCCATGTGGATGTTTTGCTATAGTTCATTTATTTTCTCTGATGTGTAGTTTTCCATTCTATGAGTATATCACAGTTTAGTTCTCCATTCTGCCATCCGTGGACATACGATTGGTTTCTGGTTTTCTTGTTATCACAAATGAGGCTGCTGTGAATATTCTTATGTGGATCTCTAGATGCACCTGCATAGGAGGTTCTAGAAATAGACTTGCTTGATTATGGAGTACGTGCGTATTCGACTTAATAAGACAGTGCCAAGTTGCTTTCCAAAGTGGCTTTGCCTGTTTTCACTTGTAGCAGCACTGTGTCAGACTTTCTGTTGCTCTATAGCAAGATCGAAATTTGCCAGCCTTCTTTGCTGCTGCCAGACTAGTTTGTAGAAAATGGTAATTCTCTATAGTCTTAATTTGCATTTCTTTGATTACTAATGAGGTTGAACACATTTTCAAGTCATTATTGGCCATTCAGGTCTCTTTTTCCACGAAATGCCTGTTCATGTCTTTCACCTAATTTTCTATTGGGTTTTCTGTTCCTTTCTTAGTGGTTTTTTGGAGTTCTTTATATATTTAGGATAATAATCACTTGTCACTTATGAATTGCAAATATCTTCCCTCCATTTATGGCTCATTTTCCCAGGCTATTTATAGGATCTTTGGATGAGCAGAAGGCTTTTATTTTAACGGAGTTAAATTCATCCGTCTTTTCTTCCTTTGTGATTTCTACTTTTTGTGTTTTCTTAAAGAATTTCTTCCCTACCCAAGGTCATAAAGTATTTTTTTTACCTTTTTCTAAAGCTTTTAATATTTTACGTTACATATTTAAATCTTTATTCACCTGGAATCGATTTTTGTGTGTGGTATGAATGAAAGGTTTTGTTTTCTCCCTAGGAGTAACTGACTGTCCCAGCATCGTTTGTTATAGTTCATGCTTCCACTACGGATTTGTGGTGCCACCCTTGTCATATGTCACATTTCCACATGTATGTGGATTGTTTTTGGCTCCCTGTTCTTTCTTTCTTCAATTTGGTGATTCCTGTGCTGCTCACTGTCTAATTATGGTAGCTATCTCAGTCCAAAACATTAAGTACTCCCAACTTTGTTCTTCATTGAGGATGTCTTGGCTATTTTTTTAATTCTCTTTCTTACAAATTTTAGAATTATCTTTTCACAAGTTTCTTGAAACAGTTTTCTGGATGGATTTGTATTGAATGTATAGATTAATTTGGGGAGAATTGATATCTTATTAAATTGTCTTTCTATCCATGAACATGACATATACCGTGTTTCTCCGAAAATAAGACAGGGTCTTATATTTATTTTTCCTCAAGAAGACACCCTAGGGCTTATTTTCAGGGGATGTGTTATTTTCCCCTCAAAGCCTCAGCTTGCAGCGCACACAGGATGGCCGGGACCTGACAGGGGGAGCTGACCTTGTTGGTGGGGCTGCCCGCACCTTTCCGGTCACCTCTGAGATAGTAGCTGTCACGATGGGGGCAGATGAGAAGGTCTGCTTGTCTTCTTTACCATTCTTCTACAAAATGCATGGGTTGTGCAGATATGCTGTGTAGCCACGCCCATCACTAGGTCTTATTTTCGGGGTAGGGCTTATATTGCGCAAATGCTTAGAAATCTTGCTAGGGCTTATTTTATGGGTAGGTCTTATTTTTGGGGAAACACGGTATTACCCCATTTATTTAGGTCTTAAATGTCTTTCAGTAATTTTCTCCATAAAATCTTGTCAGTCTTTTTGTTAACTATATCCCCAGGTCCTTTATTTTTGACATCTATTACAAATGGTACACTTATCACATGTTATATTTCTGTTTCTTATATAGAGAAATGCAGTTGATTTTTTGTATATGTATTAATCTTATATTCATATTCCTTGATCAACTTTTTTATTCCAATTTGTTTTGTAGAATCTTTCAGATTTTCTGAATAGAGTCAAAGGATCTCTGAATACCAAAAGTTATTTCTTCTTTTCCATTTTTTATTCTTTTTCCCCATGTTTTTCTGCATAGCACTGGTTGGGACTGCCAGTACTTTATTGAATAGAGTGGCTATAGCAGGAATTCTTGTCTTGTTTTCCTGACTTTATAAGAAATGCTTCTAACATTTAAACATGAGAATGAAATTTGCTGTGGGTTTTTGATAGAAATATTTTATCAGGTTAACAAAGTACCCTTTAGTTTTTATTATCGTTTGCTAAGGGGTTTTATTTTAAATGGGCATTAAACTTACCAAATGGGTTTTTTTTCTGCAGTTATTGTGATGATTATATTTTTTCCTTTTGTCTGTTAATAGGATGAGTGACATTTTTAGATTTTTTGATGTAAAAATTACCCTTAAATTTCTGGAATAAATTCATCTTCATCATGATGTATTATATTTTTTTATGTATTGTTATATTCAGTGTACTTATTGTTCAGGATTTTAAAACTGTCTTCCTTAGTGGTGTTGGCCTGTAATTTTTCTATTTTGTACTATCCCTGTGTAGTTTCTGGTATCAAGATTCCTATTAATCTTCTAAAATGCACTGGGGTCTCTTCTCTTTTTTCCTTATCATGGAAGATTACAAAAGATTTGATTAGATTACTCCTTGAAAGGTTGGTAGAATTTACTTGTAAAACAATCTTCTTCTGCCATCATCTTCATAAAAGAATGATAAAAAACTAATAAAACAAATTAAAAAAAGCAAAAAACGCCTCAGGAGGCCTACTATTTTTAAAGAAACCACTGGTAAGAAATGACGACCATATAGCAAGGAATTTATTTCATTTAAGTTTTCAAATTCATTTACACGCACTTATTAAGCATGTTCTCTTTGTGATCTCCCTCATTGAAATTCCACCATTTTATACCATTGTACTCTCCTTGTTAGCTGTTATCAACCCTGCATCTTACAAATGAGGAAACAGGCTCAGAGAGGGTAAGTCACTTGTCCAGGTCAAACAGCCCAGGTCAAACAGCCAGACAGTCGCAGAACCAGGATTTAACTGCAAGCCTTTCTGCATTGCAGACTGCTATTTCTGCTGCATCATGCTGGGCCTTGAGGGATGGGTAGGATTTGGACAGCAGAGATGGGAAGGAAGGGCTTGCGTGGACGAGGAGCAGCATATGCGGATGCGTGGCGGTTAGGAAAGTGGGGAGAGATCTGATGGGACTGAGTCCTCCAGGGGGTGGGGGACAGTGGGCGGTGAGGGTGGTGTGGGCGAGTGCCTTTGCTGCTGAGTCCTGTTGAGACATAGAGGCAGGAAACATGGGCTCTGCTCCCAGGAAACTCACTGACTAGTTGGGCATCAAGACTGACCCAGGGAAGTAGGGACAAGGCTCATTGCCACGTGGATGTTGGGGACAATCAGGGTTGTCAGAGTTTTGAGAAGATACACCCTTGGGCCGGGGAGGTCAGCCGTTTGTGAGATGGGTGGGATTTGACCGATGGTGAAGAGGGAGGGCCACTGGGCATGGGCAGTGGTGTGACAGCTGGAAGGTCGAGGTGTGTCCAGGAGACTTGGGCTGAGTACCTGCTCGCTCTTTCTCTACACTCCACTCGCTAGTCTAGCGTCCACTTCCTTCTTTTCTTTTCCAAACAGTGGAGGCCAGATTTTTGTGGTTTAGAATGGAAAGACATGTTCATTTGGATGCATCCTTCATATGCAAATTTTAAATTAGGGACTTATCGCACTGGGTAAATGGTGGCAGGCTGGTGTGAAGAAGCCAGCTGAGACTTTCCCAAGTGTTGGCACAAGCCCCTGTTGGCTCTGAGATCCTGACTGTGAAAACCCTTGGGTCCATCTGGAGCTATTGACCCCCGTGGGTGCCGGTGGATTCTGGCCAAATGGTTTGTCAAATAAGAACCAGGTTCCTCCATCTTCACAAATGCCCCTTTATCAGGGAGGAGGAGGCAGAGAAAAGCAAGGTGGACGACAGGGTCCCAGAGTCAGGTGGATTCAAGCCTGGGTTTGAATCCTAGTGCTGTCATTTCATGAGCAAGTAACTTAACCCTTCTGGGCCTCAGTTTCCTCATTTGCTCAAGGGGGATAATAATAGTGC